TCTTTCCACGTAGAATGATGGTTCCATCCAAGGAGCTGTGGGAAAATTTTAATAGTCACTACTTGTTCCTTTTTTTTTATGTATGCCTCCTCAATTACAAGTTGTAGAGTTCCTTAAGATCGGTTCCAAAAAAAAATTAAATAAACAAATCTGATATTGATCATAGGCAGGGTTGGCATTGGTCAACATCCTGAACATTATCCAATATGTTCAATGTGTATTGTGACTTGGTGTTCTTGATGATGGCGAAATCAGATGATGGTGATTGGGTTGATGATGAGTTTGATTATCATTTTTTAGTTAGTGATTGAGATGGTGGAGTTGGAGTTGCTCAAGTGAATGTTGTGGTCGTTTATGATGTTGTTCTTGATCCTATCGCTGTGCTTAATATTACGTGTGGATTATTGTTGGATCTAGAAGTACGGGATAATATCCGTGTCTGACTCTAATCCTGGTCATGGGTGTCAAGTTTAATAAGTTTCCTCCTACAAACATATTAGTTGGTACATTCACACACCTCATAGCAATGAGGTTTTTTTCTATATGTGAAGCTACCGCCATATTGGGAGGTTTTGGACAAGCGAGTGGCTTTAGCCAGTGTTGGCATTTGGCTAACATTATCAGCCGAAAATGACCATAATGGTCAAAGCAAGCTAAGACAGTGAATAGGTTTTTTTAAAATTAATGGTTTTCCATGAACCATCGGCTTGTAATCCATGACCCAAGAGCTACTTTTTTTAAAGAATCATCCCATTGACCTGGGCGTGGTGATTCACTGGTGGTGGTGGTTGACCAAAACGGCCAAATACAAGACTAGCCAAACGACTAAGTACCAATGCTGGTTTTAGCAGTCTCATTGACAACGATGCAATTAATAAACTTTTTCATGGCAACGTGCCCCCCTGAAAATCTAATTGTATCTCTTTATCATCGGGGTGTGAGTTAAATTAGCATTATGTGCGCGAGGAATAAGAGAATGATTGTAATGGTTTAACTGCAAGTTTCCATCTGGCAATCCAACATTGCATATCGAATTGTTTTGTGTTCCAAATTGTCCTAATGTGCACAGTTTTCCGTATGAGATAGAGATAGAGATAGAGATCTCCAACAGTCGTGTTGCCTTTTTCTTTTGCCTTGGTTGAGATACTAATTTTAAAACCTTATCGAAAAGTTCTTCAACATTTTGTGACGTGACAATATTTTTTTCGATTGTCACAAATTCTTCAACTTCGTTATAATGGTCATGTTGAGTATTATTGTGATTTTGATAATGAGATTGTTGAAAGTGCGAAGAAGAGTCATTATGAGATTTTGACATGTTGTA